CCCAAAGCCACGTGGATCCCCTCCAGGGTCCAACTCGCCCCCCAGGAGTGGAGCTACCAGCAGGTTCAGATCACACGCTTCCTTGTCCATCTTTCCGCTGGGCTGAGCGGGACCTCGGAGGAGTCCCGTGTGTCCCCGAGAGGGGGCGCTCGGTAAACATTTCTGAATTTAAATTCCCATTTCCCAGGGGAAGCTGAGGCTCAGAGAAGGTGAGACGAAGCGTAGGCTCTGTCCCCGGCCCCTCACCCGCCCCCCCCACCCCCCCGCCCCAGGAGTCTGGGGCCGCGGGGAGGGCTCACCTGGTTATTGGACAGCGGCGACGGGAAGTGGTGCGTGTGCAGGTTCTTGCCGGTGAGCACGTGTGTCAGCCTCACCGCCTGCCCGCAACGCACCGGGGATCCGCGCGGGCATCCGCCCTCCGAGCCGCTGCGGATCCGCCAGTAGCTATTGGCGTCGTCCGACGCCTCCACGCCGGTCACCGACTGTTGGCCGCTGCCTGAGGGCGACACCCCACCCCACCCACGGGGTCGCCGTCAGTCCCGGAACCCGCGACCCTCAGCCCGAACGCCATAAACTTTCCAGGACCGCCTCCACCCTGATACCCTAACGGTTCCCCTCCCAGGTCCCACCCCTGGTCCCCGGATGAACTCCCAGACCACCCTCTTCGCCCCCAACCTAGCGACGACCCCCTCCAACCGCCGGTCCTTGTCCTCCTCGGTCCCCCAATAACTCCGCCAGGACACCCCCAGACCCTGGGCCGGAGACCTCCACCATCACTCAGCCTTCTAAATACCAGCCCCCAAAAAACCCCCGAGCGATGCCCAGTCCTAGGCCCCGCGCACCGGATCCGTATTTGACGTCGTGCGAGTGCAGCCGCACCCTGTGCTGCGTGTTGAACAGCTTCAGCACCGACCCGCAGGTCACGACCCCCGCGCCGGTCTTGGCGGCGCCGCTGCCCGGCACCGAGAGCGCCAGCAGCAGCCCCAGCAGCGCCGCACCAGCAGCGCGGCCGCGTCCCGCGCTCCACATCGCCCCGGCCGGGCTCCGCCAGCTCCGGCCCGAGCCGCTTCCGTCTCCGCAGCCGGCCAATCCGGCTGGGACCGAGCCTCCGAGGCAGCCAATCGCGGATCCGCACGGCGCTCCGCCGGCCCTACCATTGGCTCGTCGCGGCCAGCTTTCCAGAGGAGGGAGCTGAAGACACGAGGAGGGTTCTGATTGGTCCACGCTTCCGACGCCCCACCAATGAGCAGCCAAGGGAGGCTGGTGTGGCTCCCAGCGGTGGGAGAGCTGCCGGGGGAGGGTCCAACAGCAGCCTCTGAACCCGGTCATGAAGCTTCTTCATCCTGGATCCCTGAGCCCCCAATCATGGCCTCTGTCCTCAGCCCCTGGGTCCGAAGCTGCAGGGTCTTGAGGTTGCTCGACCACTGAATGTTGTGGTCACAAAGTCGACAGATGTTAGATAATGAATCGCCTGGCCCTTCAGCTCCCGGACTCTAGGATCAATACTCCCCCAGTCACTCGGTCATCTCCCCTCTCTGACACTGGGTCACCTCAGTCCCTGGACCCTGGGGTTTCTGAATCCACATGCCTCTCACCGACTCCTTCCCTGACACTATTGCCACCAGGCAGCAGAGGGCAGCAGGGAGCTGTGGTGCTTGGTGTAATGGCATGTTCTCACCGGAAAGCCCTAAAGCTCTTAGGGAACCAGAGTCCCGTTAGAAAGTGACTGTAGCAACCAAGCCTAGGCGACTGTGTGTTCCAGGTTCCTGACATGCATGGGTCTTCAAGGGTGGGAAACTTACAACAGTCACTAGTTGCTCAAGGCCAAACCTTGGGATTCATCTCTGATTCCTCTCTTTACTGCACTCACATCTAATCCAACACTGACTCCAAAACAGATTGGGAGGCAACTCTCCTGCATCCCTCATCACCGCCCTAATCCAAGTCACCCCATCTTCCCTCTAGATATCTACCACCCCATCCTAACTGATTTCCCTGCTTCTGCTACCCTGGCCCCTCCAAGACATTCTCTACACAGGAAAGTGACTGTGCCTTATATATCAGATCATGCCAGGCACCTGCAGAAAGGGACCGTCGTCAGAAAGGGAAGTGTTCATTCTTTTTGTTCTCTTCCTGTTTCTCTCTGGGAATCGGGTGACCTCTCCTGAGTTAGTACAAGCAACTTTGGGGTCCCTGGAATGAAGGTCATGGTCCCAATAACACAACCCTCAAAATACACGATTTTTCATTCCCCGATGGCATATTTGTGGGTGTCTGTGACTACAATAGACTGTATTTCTAGACTTATTAGTGAATCAAACCCCAAGTTAGATTAAAAAGCATTTTAGGGGGCCCTAACCTGTTTGGCTCAGTGGATAGAGCGTCGGCCTGTGGACTGAAGGGTCCCAGGTTCGATTCCGGCCAAGGGCATGTACCTTGGTTGCGGGCACATCCCCAGTAGGGGGTGTGCAGGAGGCAGCTGATCGATGTTCCTCTCTCGTTGATGTTTCTAACTCTCTATCCCTCTCCCTTCCGCTCTGTGAAAAATCAATAAAATATATTTTTTAAAAAAAGACATTTTAGGGGAGATATTTTATAACTCAATTAAACGCTAAATGATCAACCTATTATTTGGCCAGTTTTATTTTTAAAATTGCTTCTTGTTTCAAAACACTATTTCTTGCCCTAACCTGTTTGGCTCAGTGGATAGAGCATCGGCTTGCGGACTCAAGGGTCCCAGGTTCAATTCCGGTCAAGGGCATGTACCTTGGTTGTGGGCACATCCCCAGTGGGGAGTGTGCAGGAGGCAGCTGATCAATGTTTCTCTCTCATTGATGTTTCTAACTCTCTATCCCTCTCCCTTCCTCTCTGTAAAAAATCAATAAAATATATTTTTAAAAAACACCATTTCTTTGGTGTTGTGTGGGCTCTGGGTTCAATACATGTCTGAATAGTCAAGCTTCTTGAGTGTTTTGCAATCTCATAAACAAAACAGACTGTTATTCTTCTACTGAGCAAGTTTATAATAAATACCCTACTCTAGAAGTGGATTATAAAAAATATAGCGCTGGCCAGGTGGCTCAGTTGGTTGGAGCATCATCCTGTACACCAACGGTTGTGGGTTCCATTCCTGGTTAGGACATACGCCTAGGTTGTGAGCTCAATCCCCGGCCAGAGTGAGTATGGGAGACAACCAATTGATGTTTCTTTCTCACATAGATGTTTCTCTCTCTCCTCCCCCCCCCTCTCTCTAATAAATTTTTTAAAAAACACACACACAGCCTCATCATGTTGGCTCAGTGGCTGAGCATTGACCTATGAACCAGGTGGTCATAGTTCCATTCCAGGTCAGGGCACATGCCTGGGTTGCAGGCTGGATACCCAGTGTTCAGGAGGCAGCCAATCAGTGATTCTCTCTCATCATTGATGTTTCCGTCTCTCCCTCTCCCTTCCTCTCTGAAATCAATAAAAATATTAAGAATAAATAAGACACACACACACACACACACACACACACACACACACACCAACCCCACCACCACCACCACATATCCTTGAATAAGGATAAAAAACATAAAATAAAATAAAATCCAGGATCATGGCAAATGGTTTGGAGCCACTTAAGTCTCAGAGTGGTTTCTCACACAGCAAGACACCTGGAACAGGAGCTAAGGTCAGGTGTCTCTAGTACCATGTGCCAGTAGTTTCCAAAGGGAAGGGCCTGCTCCCATCCCAGGACAGTCCCTGGGCACATACTTCTGAGGCTGGGGAGGGGATATGTTCAATTCTCCCTTAAGGACTCGGCAGTGGGACCTGGGAAGTTGACAGGTATCAACAGCTGCTCGCTCTCAGAATCCTGGGGCTCCCCTTCTTGGCTCCCTCCTGCCATCAGCATTTCTTTTCTTTTCTTTTCTTTTTTTTAAAAAATATATTTTATTGATTTTTTACAGAGAGGAAGGGAGAGGGATAGAGAGCTAGAAACATCGATGAGAGATGAGAGAGAAACATCGATCAGCTGCCTCCTGCACACCTCCCACTGGGGATGTGCCCGCAACCAAGGTACATGCCCTTGACTGGAATCGAACCCGGGACCCTTCAGTCCGCAGGCTGACACTCTATCCACTGAGCCAAACCGGTTATGGCATCAGCGTTTCTTGCCCTCTCTGGCGAGGGGTGGAAGATGGCTGCGCTTCACCATCCACGCTTGCCTTCAGCCGTCAGTGCAAACTGCACCAGAATCTCTAGGAAAGAACCTGAGTGGCCTCGCTTGGCTAGAGTTGTGCCAATAGGTCCCAGCACTGTGGCCAAGTGCAGGAAGACGGCTATCGTGGCTCCACACTGTGGTGGTGGTGGCAGTGGGTGGCCTCAGGGAATGGGTCTTATGGGCTGAGCATGTTCCCTGAGAGATCCTTACCAAAAGAACGCTGTGGTAAAGTGGGTCCCCCCCCCCCCCACACACACACACACATACCCTGCTCCACCTTAGTGCTCTGATCCCTCTGACTCGCAGTGTAGCAAGTCTTCCTCCTGAGGCTTAGGGTGTGGGTGTTGTACGGAAGGTCCTTCCTGCCTGGCTCCAGCGGTCCTTCCCCGGGGGCCACTGAGCATGTCCAGGCTGGGTTGCCCAGGCCTGGCCTCTGCCCCTGGGTGCTGAGGCAGTGTGAAGCATCTTCGCGTGCTCTCTCAGCCATGGGGAAAGGGTGGTGAGGGGAGAGGTGGAGCTGGTCCCGGGGCAAAGATGCCTGAACAGGGGAGCAGACAGACTGCCCTGAGAAGGCAGAGGGAAGGAGGGCGCTGCACAGGTGGCACAGGAAGGCCAGAAGCCCCCGGAGAACCTTGGAGATGAGACCTGCCGTGCCCACGGACCCTTCTGGAGGCAGTCAGCCTGTCCGGCACCACTGAAATAAGGAGAGTCAAGTGGCCAACCTGGGGCAGCCAATCCACAGCTTGACCAAGCCGCAGCACCATGTGGCTTGGCATAGAACCTCCAGATTCAGAAGGTGGAGGTAGGAAATACAAATTAGGAAAACAGGTGGCCGTGAGAGCAGCAGCAGGAAAGGGTGACTCCTCAGTAGGAATATGTGTGACATGCCAAAGCCAAAGGGAGGGGGGAAGTGCCTTGGCAGAGGAGCTGCCGCTGGAGGCAGAAGCCATGATGCACAAGAGGCTGTGATGGAAGGCGACCATGAACCCTAGAGGCCCGAAGAGCCGGAACCATGCTGACTGGAGTACAGAAAAGCCAGGAACAGCGATTTGTGTTCAACAGAGCATGTGAGGTCACGGGGGTCAGAGCACTGCCAGCTGTCCTGAAAGCCAGCGGCGGCCAGGCCTGGCCCGCTGGGATGTGCTATCCAGGGGCAGGTGAGCAAGTGCATGAAAGGGAGGCTGAAATCTCCAGACAAGAACACTGCTCCATCAACAGAAGCTTTATTATCCCTGTAGGATCTCTTGAGAGGCTGAGCAGAGCGTCTCGTGGGCACTTAGCCTGTTCTGATCTCTGCTCGGGACAGGGGCCAGCTGGGTGGACAACATTTCCCTAGAGCAGGAGAGAGAGTAGGGAACCCAGAACTTGGTTCAGCTTAGGGAGCCTCGGGCAATCTCCAGGGCCGTCTGAGGAATGGCTGATCTCTGTCTACACTCAGGGATGCTCTGGGTCTCATCTCCCCAAAATGTTATAGTCCTCCTCCTCCCCCTCCCCCTCTTCATCCTCCTCCCCCTCCCCCTCTTCATCCTCCTCCCCATCCCCCTCTTCATCCTCCTCCCCATCCCCCTCTTCTTCTTCCTCCCCCTCCCCCTCTTCTTCCTCTTCCCACTCTTCCTCCTCCTCCCCCTCTTCCTCCTCCTCCCCCTCCTCCCCCTCTTCCTCCTCCTCCCCCTCTTCCTCCTCCTCCTCCTCCTCTTCCTCCTCCTCCCCCTCTTCCTCCTCCTCCCCCTCCCCCTCCCTATTCTGTCTCTCCCCCATGTCCACTACTTGCTCAGGCTGCTTGAAGCCCGTGCCAGTGCTCTGGGATGCGGAGGGCTTGGGCTCCAACTGGTTCGTGGGCTTGTGCTCCTCAGCAGTACCTTTCTCCTGAAGGGTGGGTACCTGGGGGTCTGGCTCCTTGGCCACCTGATCCAGGACAGTGGCCTGCATAGACAATGTGGAGGGGGTGTCTATGCTGCCTGGGAGGGAGGCAGTGTGCTGGGAGGCGTCATGCTGGGAGGCCTCCAGGGACACATGCCGGGCCCACTGCGCCTCCTCCAGCATGCGCAGCAGGTCGTTCCAGTTGACCTCCGAGGACAGGCAGATGTTGGAGCCTTTCACTTTCTTGAAGCCCAGCAAGAGGTCCACGAGTGTCTCAGTGATGGGGAAGGAGATGAGGCCCAGCTGCTTGGTGAGGTTCCTCTCAAACTTGTACTTGCAAACAAGCAAGGAGACAGCCTGCTCCGTCATGTCGTTGATAAGCTCCTCAGACCAGGGGTTGGAGATGTAAGATATGGACTTGGAGGAGATGGAGGGCAGTGTCGTCTTCTTCCTGTTGTAATGGGGGCTCTGTGCGGCAGCCAGGGAGGGAAAGGGAGACATGTCATGCCACTCTTGCTGTCCTGGGATGTCCCTCACACCCACAGCACCCTACATGTCACCCACATGGACACCAGGCCTGTCACACTAAGGGTATGGCCTCAACACATCTGCTCTGCTTCCCGCTCAACAGCTCAGCACAGGTCCTGCATGTCGGCCAACCCTCACACGTATCACACTCTCATCACACTGGCCACACCGGTCAGGCTACAGGACAAGGCAGGTGACCGTAGTCACATTGTCAGCCAAACTGGAGCCTGGACAATCCAGGTTCCAGCAGATTCTTGCCCAGGCCAGGGTTCAGAGGAGGAAGGTGTGCCCGGGCCTTGATGGGAAAGAGAGGGTCTGGGTCTGTGCTGGAGACCCACCAGGATGAAGCCACCTACATCTTCTCCACACCCTTCCTGGTCAACTCCCTGTCATCCGGGCAGATCCACGGGAGCCCTGGCCCAGGCAGCAGAACCAGAGGGTAGTAGACCTAGGATGCAGAGCCCCACTCTAGGCTCAGGCTGCTGTCCGCAAGGGACAGGACCCTTTCCACATGGAACGGTCTCCAATTTCACATGCAAATGTTAAAAAAATACCCAGAATTAAAAATAGCCTTTATTCATCTTTCATAACACCTGGCAGTATTTAGGCCAGGGTTCCTAGCCCCCATCAGCTTGTCCCCTGTTCAGGTGGTTTCCGCTGCACAGGGCGAGAGACCTGAACCATGGGCGCCTGCCAGTGACAGCGGCTTTTAGGAATGGTGGCTGACAGGGCCTTTCCCCTCCAAGTTCGCCCCTAAACTTTCCAGCTTTGCCCTAGAGGTAGTCACATCAGAATACAGTGAAGCGAGTGTTGGGGTGAACTTTCTTACTAAGGAGGAGAGTGGTACGAATGCAGGGAGGTGGTGGAAGGTCTGCGGAATTGGGACCTGGGTCAGGTGGGTCTGCTTGGGCACTTCCACCTTGATCCCGGGGGCAGGCAGGGTGATGTGTAGGCTCCGCCAGGGCTGGGCCCTTTGGCTGGAGCTCAGAGGCCCAGAAGAAAAGAGGGGTGATCTCTGTTCTTTGGGGTACGGGTCAGGTGCTTCCTGCCGGGGGTGGGGCGAGGGGACCTTGGGCTCTTCCGTGGGTATCACCTGGAGCCTAAATCTGGTGGCTCCTTGGGCATTAGACATGGTGGAACCACCTTCCTTGGACTTGTCCCGTGTTCTGGGCTTGTTTTTTCTTCCTGTCATCTTGGAGCTGGAGGCTGCGGTGGAGGGGAGATCATCATTGGTCTCTGGGTTGGGTGTGGCCAGTTTGGAGCCTGGGGTGATTTCTAGATTGGGGTCTGTGATGGGCTCCCATTCGGATGGGAAGAGAGGGCAGCCGTTCTGCCGGAGGGCGCCACTGAGCTTGTCCACAGCCTGGTTGACCACGCTCTGCAGGGCAGGGAAGAGGTGGTGCTTGGCCAGGAGGTCCAGGGTCCGATGGGGCTCACGGAACGAAGAGTAGCCGGGCAGGTTGAAGGCCTCTGACTGGCTCAGCAAGGACTTGATCTCCTTGTTGAACTCTCTCTTGAGGAATTTCAGCTCCCTCTCGCCAATCCCCAGCTCTGATGCTTCCGGTGTGCCCAAGCTTGAGCCCAGTGAGTCCCACAGCAGGGCGTCCCCCTGGGAGCAGGGCAGGCGTTTCTGAAGAGAGAGGGGGATTCTCAGAGGTGTCCAGGAACAGCCAAGCCAGGCTTGACCCTGAGCTCTGGGCTGGGCTCCATCCTCCCCAACCCAGGCCATAACCCCACATCTTACCCCTCTGTTCTCTAGCCGCAGCAGCCGTTTGAGGCTCTTCTCCTGCAGCAGTTTGTCCCTTATGGGTGGCAGTGGACCTAGGCCGCGGTAGCCCAGGTCGCTGTCCCGGCCATAGGAACCCGGGTAGCCGACTGTGGCGTTGCTATGTGAGTCAGACATGGAGCTGGAGCAGGATGGGTAGTTGTTGGGGTGCCCGATGCAGAGGCTGGGCTGGACGTGGTGCCGGTGCACGGTATTGAGGCTGGGCCGGGCACGCACACGTCGCCCCCCCCTCGGCATCTCCACTGGGTCCTGCACATCCACCAGCGGCGCCCCAGTCTCTGTCTTCATGGTAGCCATGCGCTCGGCTGCTTCCTCCACCACCCTCTGCAGGCTCTCCAGCACCTGGCCCTCCACAAGGAAATCCAGGAAACTGCCAAAGGGCCGAGGGTCCCTCGTGCTCCCACGGTGGCTGCGAAGCCCTGAGCTGCCGGAGGGGCCATACATCGACGGTGGGTGTGGCACGTGGCCCAGATTGGAGGATTGCTCCACTTTCAGGAACGGTGGCTTCTTAGGCGGCTGCACCTGAGCAGAAAGGCATGTCACAGTGATCAGGAATGCCCCAGAGCAGGAGGGGTCCCGGGGGTCCTTCTAAAGCACCAGGCACTGGGTGGGCAGCGGAAGGAACTGTGCTTAGAGCCCTGGGTTTAGGCCCTGGTTCTGCCACCTTCAGGCTGTATGACTGTGGGCACAAGGGGATCTGAAAGCCCACCTCTGGCCTCCCACAGGGAGTGAGTGGGTGATCACAAAACCCCTCTGACTCCCACTTGGGCTCCTCATCTGTCTGTCCTGCTCCACTGCTGGGCTGTACAGACCACCTGTGGTCCTGAGCCCTGCACACCCCACGGCTACTTCTGCAACTAGAGTCCTAAGCCTTGAATAGACCCCATGATCCCACTCTGGGCCCCAGTCTACTGAGCTCCTCCCAGGCCACTGGAAGTCAGGGGGACGTGGGATGAAAGTGAGGGTGCCTGGCCAGCGTGGCTCAGTGATTAAGCCACGACCTACGAACCAGGAGGTCAGGGTTTGATTCCCCGCCAGGGCACATGCCTGCTTGTGGGCTCATCCCCAGTAGGGGGCGTGCAGGAGGCAGCCGATCAATGATTCTCTCTCATCATTGATGTTTCCATCTCTCTCTCCCTCTCCCTTACACTCTGAAATCAATAAAAACGTGTTTTAAAACACCTATGTGCTGATATATTTTTTAAAAGAAAAAGCAATTGAGGGTGACTAGGGCCCAGCAGGGGGTCAGCGCAGTGGAAATGAGGAAGGGGTGTTGTGATCTGGGGCACTGGGGCAGGCGAGGGACCTATGGGGCCGGGCCTCAGAGTCAGGCCCTCCCGGGCACACCTACCCGGGCCCGGTACGTGATGTGGCCGGCCTCATCGTCCGCCAGGTATCCGGAGTGGTGGCGGCAGGTGTTCATGATGTGGGTGCACCGGTCGGCTGCCAGCCGTCCTCTCTCTTCCGTTTTGCCGTGCGGCCGCGGCTGCCTCTCCGCATTGGACGGGGAGAAGGCGTGAGTTTCTCCCCAGGCTTCCATAGGTTCGAGTCTCCGTCCCTCTGCAGGACACTGCGTCAGTGGCCCCGGGTCCACAGGTCCCTCGCTCCCGCCACCCCAAGGCCCTCAGGGGTCTGGCCCTGCGGTTGCTCGGAGACCCCTGGGCGTCCGCATACACATCCGTGTCCGGAACCGTTGGGGTTGGGGTCCCCGAGGACGTCCTCATCCTGACTCTGACCATCTCCAATCCTCGCCCCTCCCAGACCCCGGGCGCCCGGGCGTCTGTCCGTGGCCGAACCCCCCGACTCACCAAAGTTGGCGCCTCGCATGGCGCCAGGCAGTGCGATCTGCGCCCGCTGCGGGGCAGCGACACTGCTCTGGAGTCGCTCGGAGAACGCCCCTCGGGGTCATTTACATGCGGCATCTTGATTGGCTCTCAACAGGCGCTCTTTCTCCAGCTCCCCCGACACAAAGGTTGTGGGCGGGGCCCACGATGGCCCCTCCCCTAATTCATCCAGTTCTGTCACTCCCGCATTCGGAGCCAGGGAGCCAGGGAGCCAGGGAGCCAGGGAGCCAGGGAGCCAGGGAGCCAGGAGTGAGCGGCTCTGATCCCCACTCTGATCCTCACTCCTTTATCTGCCCCGAGGGAAGCGAGCCTAAGGGGCAAAGTCAAAGTCTCTAGTGACACAAGCACATCCAATCGGGTCCCTGCGTCGCCCTGGGCCTCCGGCTCTTCTTTCCAGTGTCCTCCCCTCGCCCATTGTGAACAACCCCAAGGTCCGTCTGGAGCCCTCTCCCGTCTGCAGTCTCCCTGAGCGCACAGGAAAGAATCCGGCTCTAAGTCACAGGTCTAGCTTCCATTCCCAGCTCTGTCGTTTCCTGCCTGTGGACTCAACCGCTATGATCTCTGCTCCCCCTTTATAAAGGGAATTGAATGTCCTTCTGCAGGGAATATGGAGATTACATTTTCTTTTTTAAAAATATATATTTTATTGATTTTTTACAGAGAGGAAGAGAGAGAGCTAGAGAGTTAGAAACATCAATCAGCTGCCTCCTGCACACCTCCTACTGGGGATGGGCCCGCAACCAAGGTACATGCCCTTGTCCGGAATAGAACCTGGGACCTTTCAGTCCGCAGGCGAATGCTCTATCCACTGAGCCAAACTGGTTAGGGCTGGAGATTACATTTTCATACAACACACCCAACACCCCATAAGATCCCCATATATCTTTACCTCCTCTCCCCCTCTGCCTGATAAACTCCTCCTCATGCAGCCCCCTTCCCAGGTGTCACCTCTCAGAGAAGCTTCCCAAAGGCTCACCCTTCCTTCTCCAACAGAATGATGGCAAACCCCATTCCAGATTCTGCCACACTTTACCAGGCGGCACTCCTTGGAGTTAGGGATTGAGGTGCTCACCCCTAATCTCTAATATTTCTAGTACCACTCATAGTATTAGTATAGATGCTCAGTGAATTTCAATTTCCTTCTTCCAGTCTTTAGACACTCAAAGACCTTTGGCCTTTCCAGGATCAGTTTCCTAGTGGAGAATGCTGGTTGATTGAGGTCTGATGATTTAAAAAAAAAAAATAAAGTATGTTTTTATTGACTTTACAGGGAGGTGGAGAGAGAAACATCAATTGGCTGCCTTCTGAATGCCCCCTACTGAGGATTGAACCCACAACTCGGGCATGTGCCGAGACCGGAATCAAACTGGGACCTCTCTGTGCTCGGGAAAATGCTCAACCAACTGAGCAACACTGGCTAGAGTGAGGTCTGATGATTTAATAATCATGTTTGAACACAACAGTCAGTCCTTATGCCAAGAGCTCAGTGAACTCTTTGAGGCCTCCACTTCGTACTGTGCCCTCATAGAAATTGGTTATTCATTTGTTATTCTCTAGCTCAGCTCTTTCCTCTCAGCCCCTGAACTAGGGGCAGCCAGGGCCTAAAGGACCAGAGCATACGCAGATGCAGGCTCAGAGCTCCGGAGGTAGTCCCAGCTCCACTACTCCTAGCAGGGTCACTTTGGGAAGAAATTAACCTTCTCTGAACCTCAGTTTCTTCATCTATAAAACATTGGTAAATGGAAATGACATTATCAATGTCATAGGCGGAACACAAATGCTGCACTTCCATTGGGAAAATCAAGACATCATAATGAAAACCCTGGTTATCAACCATGTGATTATTTGTACAGTCATGGGTAAGGAAAGTGTCTCTGAACCACAAAGAAAAAAAGAAGCCGTAGCCAGTTTGGCTCGGTGGATAGAGCATTGGCCTGCAGACTGAAGGGTCCCGGGTTCGATTCCGGTCAAGGGCATGTACCTTGGATGTGGGTACATCCCCAGTGGGGGGGGGGGGGTGTGCAGGAGGTGGCTGATCGATGTTTCTCTCTCATTGATGTTTCTGACTCTCTATCCCTCTCCCTTCCCCTCTGTGAAAAATCAATAAAATATATTTTTAAAAAAAGAAAAAAAGGAGGTTGTGAATGTAAAAATTAGTCTGGCACAGAGCTCAAGAGACGGAAGTAGGGGCTAATGCTTCCTCAAATGAAGCCATTGGTATTACATGTTTTCTTTCATTTTATTGTTTAGAGCTTTTACAAATCACACACACACACACAAAAGCCACTCCTTAAAAAAAAAAATCAGTAAAAGACAGGCAGTTTGAAAAAGAAGACACATAAAATAAATTTTTAAAAAAAGAAAAAAGAAAAAGACACATAAAGAGCTAATAAAAACATGGAAAAGTTCATAATCACTATGAAAAATGAAACATACAACCTGATGGGCGTGGCTCAGTGGTTGAGCCTCGACCTATGAACCTGGAGGTCCCCGTTCCATTTCCGGTCAGGGCGCATGCCTGGGTTGCGGGCTCGATCCCCCAAGTAGGAGACAAGCAGGAGGCTGCTGGTCGATGGTTCTCATCATTGATGTTTCCATCTCTTTCCTCTCTCTGAAATCAATAAAAACATTTTTTTTTAAAATGAAACATTACAAAAATGAGATAACATTGATGTGATCATTATTTCTCAGAAGTTGGGGAGGGAGAGAAGAGGAATTAGGTGTGTCTATTTGCTTAGCGAAAATACTGGAAGGACGCTGTACCCAGAAAATTGACAGTAGTAATCTCGGGGAAGGGGAAGAGATTTCTTTCTTCAGGCTTTCTCTTCTGCGTGTTTCATATTAAATGTTATTTTTGCAGTCGCTGAAAGTGTCGCGTTGCAATCAATCTAGCCCTGGCCGTGGTCTGCTTGGTTTGGAGCCCAGCGGGAGGCGGGAGGTCGTTGCAGGGCCACGGCGGGACCACTAGGTGGCAAGAACAAAGGCGAAGTGGGGACGCGTCCGGGTGTGGGCGTCGGGGAGGGGCCTGGGGCTGCGTTTCGGGGCGGAGCCTGGACTGGCCGGTTCACTCCCATCAGGTCCCCAGCCGCGCGCTCTGGCTGAGGGATGGCTTGGCCGCGCGTGCGGCTGGTGGTGACTGCGGACGACTTTGGGTACTGCCCGCGGCGGGATGAGGGCATCGTTGAGGCCTTCCTGGCCGGAGCTGTGACCAGCGTGTCCCTGCTGGTCAACGGCGCGACGGCGGAGAGCGCGGCGGAACTGGCCCGCAGGTGAGGAGTGACCCCCGAGTCAGAATGGGATTTGGGCGGCGCCGCTCGGTGGCCGCCTGTGCTCCGGCTCGCGTTCCACCCTCAGGCACCGAATCCCCACGGGACTGCACGCCAACCTGTCCGAGGGCCGCCCCGTGGGCCCGGCCCGCCACGGCGCCTCGTCGCTGCTCAGCCCCGAAGGCTTCTTCCTGGGCAAGATGGGATTCCGGGAGGCGGTGGCAGCCAAAGATGTAGCTTTGTCCCAGGTGCGGAAGTGCGGCTGCAGGAGGAGGACACCCCCCAAGGCTCCTCCCAGAGGGTACCATGACGCCATCAGGGGCGGGAACGGGAGCGGGCTCTGGATGCTTCCCTGGTTCCAACTCTAGAGCAGTCACCCGGAGGCACGGGGGTGGGTGGTGGGGGGTGGGTAGCTGGTCCTCATCGGTAGCTGCTCCCGGGCGTTTAAGGTGCCATAGTCCTCTCCTTCCAGGTGCGGGAAGAGCTGGAGGCCCAGCTGAGTCGCTTCCAGGAATTACTGGGCAGGAAACCCACCCACGTGGACGGGCACCAGCATGTGCACGTGCTCCCAGGTTGGTGGTGCCAGGCAGGGGGCGGTGTGCCCAGGTGCGGTGAGAGGTGCTCGCAGGTGGGGAGAGGTGCTCCTCCCTGACAGCGCCCCGCCCGCCCGCAGGCGTGTGCCAGGTGTTCGCAGAGGCGCTGCAGGCCCATGGGGTGCGCTTCACGCGTCTGCCGCTGGAGCGAGGATTGGGCGACTGTACTTGGCTGGAGGCCCCTGCGCGCGCCTTCGCGTGTGCAGTGGAGCGCGATGCCCGGGCTGCTGTGGGCCCCTTCTCCCGCAGTGGCCTAAGGTGAGGACCCCCAAACCGCTGTGCCCTGTTCCCTACCTGGCTCAGGTCCCAGTGGGTCCAGCTGGCTAGCTGAGTACCTTCCTTTCTCATCTGCCCTTGGCCTAGCCCTGCCCATCACTGTCCTGCTCGTCTGTGCTCTGATGCCTGGGTATCCACAGGTGGACGGATGCCTTCGTGGGTCTGAGCACCTGTGGCCGGCACATGTCTGCTCATCGTGTGTCAGGAGCACTGGCTCGGGCCCTGGAAGGTACACCCACAGGTCACTCCCTGACAGCGGAGCTGATGGCCCACCCAGGCTACCCCAGTGTGCCTCCCGCTGGAGGCTGCGGTGAGGGCCCCGACGCCTTTTCCTGCTCTTGGGAACGGCTGCATGAGCTGCGTGTCCTCACAGAGCCCACGCTGCAGGCCCGGCTGGCCCAGGATGGCGTGCAGCTCTGTGCCCTCCATGACCTAGAGTCCAAGAGACCTGGTGAAGCCACTCTAGCAACCTTCCTGGAGTCCTCCCAACCATGACCCTGACAGCCAAGGACTAACGCCTTAGTGCTCAGGGACGTGGCAAGGGTTGTGCTTTGGCACAGCCCACAAACCAACCCTAGAGGGGGTTCTGTGACTTCCCTGGGCAGAAAGATGCCACCTCTTTGCCCAGATCCTCATGCCTCAGTGTGACAGCCAGACCTTTGGCAAGCCCTCTTGGCTGCAGGTGGGTCAGCCTGTGATATCTCGGCATGGGGCCTGCCAAACATTTTCTGCTCTTCACATTTCTACGTAAGCATCGTCTTTGTTTAGGTGTAGTGGGGAGAGATCACTATATTAATAAAATAATGTGTCTTGTAAAATTTGAATGGTTTATAAACTGTGCCCAGAAAACTGTTAGACACAGGGGCAGGCAAAAGCAACTCCCAGGGCCCAAACCCGGTCACTATTCCAGAAAAGACATATAAAACAAGTTTCACTCTCATTTTGTTCATGCTTAGCTTTTGTTTTCTTTTGGGAGGCGTGAGAGGAGAAGAATGTCTCACTTGGATACTTTTTAGGAGGTATATTATAATCTCAATTTTTATTGAAAAAGAAGTCACCTGCCAGTGTAGCTCAGTGGTTAAGCATCAAACTATGAACCAGGAGTCACAATTCTACTCCAGGTCAGGGCACATGCCCCGGTGTGGGCTCGATCCCCAGTGGGGGGCATTCAGCAGGCAGCTGATCAATGATTCTCTCATTAATGTTTCTCTCTCTGTGTCCCTTCCTCTCTGAAATCAATTAAAAAGAAGACTAGAGATTACTTAAAAAAAAAAGTTTTCCTGCCGAACCGGTTTGGCTCAGTGGACAGAGCCTTGGCCTGCGGACTGAAGGGTCCCAGGTTCGATTCCAGTCAAGGGCATGTACCTTGGTTGCGGGCGCATCCCCAGTAGGGGGCGTGCAGGAGGCAGCTGATGGATCTTTCTCTCTAATCAATGTTTCTAACTCTATCCCTCTCCCTTCCTCTCTGTAAAAAACCAATAAAATATATTTTAAAAAAAAGTTTTCCAAAAAACACTTCTAAGCACCCAGATTAGCCATTAACAAGTACTGCCCGGCCCAGGCACTCTGCTGAAGTCCCAACTTCAGCTCCAGTCCTCAGGTTGGTGACATTCCTCCACGATGCATGAGAGAAGCAAGGAGAGAAGCCAATTTGGTGTTGGGGCCGGAAGAATTCAGACCAACTCAGGCTTTGCCTTCTACTGCGTCAGGTGGCTGCCCTGCAGGGCGGGGCACTGAGGTGCTGCCAAGTAACAAGAGCAGGGTGAGGCCACCAGCCTATGGACTTGGCCTTGAGGAAGTCCTGAGGCCCTTGCCAGAGGAACCTTGGAGCTAGAGGGTGGCAGAAGTCAGGCTGCTGTGGGCACAGGAGTGAATAAGGCCCATATTTTGAACTGAACAATTAGACCAAAGGAAGGGCCTGGCTAGTGTGACTCAGTTGGTTGGAGTGTCACCCTGTGCACCGAAAGGTCTTGGGTTTGATTCCTGGTCAGGGCACATACCCAGGTTTCAGGTTCGATCCCAGGTCTGGATGCATTCGGGAGGCAACTGATCCATGTTTCTCTCTCACACCAATGTTTTTCTCTCTTACCCTCTCCCCTCCTCTCTAAAATCAATTAAAACAACAACAACAACCCAACAACAATGAAGGGAGGCAAGAAAATGTTAACTCCAGAGTTCAGGAAGTTGAGAGGGTCTTGCAGGCCTCTGGCTTTGGGGAAGGGGGAACTGTGGCTGCATCTGGGCTCAAAGAGACCAGTAGTGGAGCTAGACTGTGTAAGAACACAGGCCATGTGCCCTTGGCTGTCACAGATGCTTAGTCTCTTCCTCTGTAAAAATTGGAATAATGGTGCCCAAGGGGTTGTCCTGAGGTTCAAAGGGAATCAAGTGCTGGGACATGGCAGAGAACCCCAGCCAATGATCAAAGGAAAGGACTGCTTCCTGCTTCCTGGTCAAATAAATCCCAGGTAAGATGTTCCCTCCCAGAAACATGCAGGCCTGCTCTCAGCTGGTGTCATTACAGGCAAGGAACTAGGCTGACAGAAAATAGTGTCAGATGTCCTGGCTCGGTAGAGCATCGCCCCAATGTGCCAAGGTTGTGGGTTTGATCCCCAGCCAGGGCACATACAAGAAACAACCAATATGTCCACAAATAAGTGGAATAACAAATCAATGTTTCTCCTTCTCTCCCCCTTCTCTAAAAACATCAAATTAAAAAAATAAGCCTTAGCCGGCTGTTCAGTGGTTAGAGCACTGGCCCTCAGACTGAAGGCTTGTGAGTTCCATTCTGGTCAAGCCACTTACTGGATCCCTGGCCCCTGGTCAGGGTGCATGTGGGAGGCAACCAATTGATGCTCTCTCTCACATCGATATTTCTGTCTCTCCTCCTTCCACTCTCTAAAAATCAATGGAGCCTGGCTGGCATGGCTCAGTGGTTGAGCACCGACCTATGAACCATGAGGTCACAGTTTGACTCAGTTTGATTCTGAGTCAGGGCACATGCCGGGGTTGTTGGCTTGATCTCTAGTGTGGGGCGTGTGGGAGGCAGCCAATCAACGATTTTCTCATCATTGATGTTTCTCTCTCTGAAAGCAATAAAAACAAATTTTTAACAAAATCAATGGAAAAAATATCCCCAGGCGAGGATTAACATAAATAAATGGTCAGGGCTCTGGGCTGAGTCAATGCCTCAGCTGCCCATGGTCCTGGAGACTCAGAAGGTGGTTTCTGGGGGTAACCCCTCAAGGAAATGATCTAAGGACTCCCTCAGGTACACCCTCATTAATTCCATGACCTCAAGATAGCCAGTTTGCTCGCTCTAGTGGGCTTGGCTCAGCATCTAGAGCAGGGGTCCTCAAACTTTTTAAACAGGGGGCCAGTTCACTGTCCCTCAGACCGTTGGAGGGCTGGACTATAGTTTAAAAAAAAAAACTATGAACAAATTCCTATGCACACTGCACATATCTTATTTTGAAGTAAAAAAACAAAACGGGAACAAATACAATATTTGTATTTGCATGTGGCCCACGGGCCGTAGTTTGAGGACCCCTGATCTAGAGCATGGGCCCTCGGACTGAGGGGTCCTGGGTTTGATGCTGGTCAAGGACACGTACCTCAGTTGCAGGCTCGATCCTGGCCCTGGTCAGGGAGGAGGCAATCAATGTTTCTCTGTCTCTCCCCCTCCCTTCTACTCTAAAAATCAGTGGGGGGGAAAGATCCTCGGGTGAGGATTAACAACAACAAAAGATAGCCAGTTTGGCCCTGGCTGGTTTGGCTCAGTGGATAGAGTGTTGGCCTGCGGATCGAGGGGTCCTAGGTTCGATTCCAGTTAAGGGCACATGCTTGGGTTGCGGGCTTGATCCCCAGTGTGGGGCATGCAGGAGGCAGACGATCATTCATGTTTCTCTCTCTCTCCTGCTCCCTTCCTCTCTGAAATCAATAAAAAATAAAAAGATAGCCAGTTTGCTCTTCTGCTGAATGTATCACTCTTTAGGGGCTGATCTGACTGAAGTGGTACATAGAGGTGCTGTCTGCTCCCCAGACAGCCAAGGGAGACCCAATAATCTGGACTCTTCAGCTTTTTCTGTGCCTCTTTTGGAGGCTGGGTCATGGGAGGATAGGAGCAGGCAAAAGCTTCAGGAGACCAGAGGCCCTACGACCTGGGCACCAGCCACCCCTCCCCCACCGAGTGCAGGCCCACCGCCAGTAAGGAAGAAACCCACACAACCAAACCAGTGTTGGAGAGCATTTTTATTAAGGGCAGCAGAACGGGATCGCAGCATCTTTAGAAAGCCTATTCTCTGCCATGGTGGGCAGGGGCAGGAAGGAGGGGGAGGACCTGGCCCACTTTGGTTCAGTTCAGGCGGGTGTGAATTCCTGAGTGGGCTCGGGACAGTGGGTGACAGCTCTCCCCTCGCCCAGAGGACCCAGCTTATTTGATTTCAGAGCTGCCAGGGCACCAGCGTGCTCAAAGCCTGCTCTAAGGCTCAGCTACCACCCGGAACTGCTGCAGGCTGGATGGAGCAAGCCACCCAGGTATGAGGGAAGGACCCCCCATGGCCTCGTTTTCCCAGGGCCAGGCCTCTCCTGACTGGACAAACCATGGGGTGCAATGCCAGGGCTAAGAGTCCCCTGAGGTGCTGCCGGCATTGACAAAAGGTACCTCCTGTGGTGAACAGAGAAGTGAAGGACAACAGGCAGGCAGAACTATGCTGGTAGAAACACGAAGCAATGGGATGGTTTCCAAGAATGGCAATAATTTTGGATTCAGAGAAGCAACGATGGTGCTTACTTGGATAGCTTCCGACAGAATTTGGCATTTTATTACAAATCTGTATGTAAGTGAAATAACGTCCATCAACACCTTTCTGCCAATGAAGAGACAGATGTGGAAATGCTGGCCCAGCTCCCCTGAGCAGGCAGGAGTCTCCAGAGCCTGCCCCTTGAGTATCTTGGACTAAAGCAGCTGAATCAGTGACACACTGCAGGGACCATGTGCCCGGACAACTAAATGACATTAATCTGCACATCATCCCAGTTCTGTGCAGTAAGACCAAGCTGTCTTAGAGGTCATAGCCCTAGAAGGATCTCGTTTTAAAACTAAAATGAGCAAAGTTTCTTTAAGTCATTTCTCCACAGAATCTAATACCCCGGAGAGTCAGGAGGGAAGCTGCCAGTGGCCGAAGCGGAGTTGGTGACACATGGCATTTGGACCAGCAGCTTCCTCTGGGTGTCAGTGACATGTTTTCTCTACTATTTCAGGGACAGTCCCACTTGCTTTGAAAAAGACATTAACATTCAAATCCTTACAAGTTCATCTGAGGATAAATTCTAAGGTCAATTTTTATTTCTACAAAAAAAAGGCAGTCAAAACAATATAAAACACATGTAGAGGATATTACTCAGTGGGCTTCAAGTGGAGCTTGACTCTGCAAAGGCTGTGAGTCCAGAGGGAGGGAAGGCCGTCTTGTTCCTGGGCTGGCCTGGCCGGCTGCTTCAAAGGGAGAGGCCAGCAGGGCATCGGTGACCCCGGACTGGTTCTGGCTCTAGCTGAGTCCTGCCAATTCCAACCCTGCAAAGGGTCAAACTGCTGAAGGAGGGCTGAGGCGGGGCTGCTGCACTGAGGAGGTGGAGATCGGGCTCCGTGGCACATTCGGATGGAGCTTGCTGACTGGTGAGCGTGGAATTTCAAATGGACATTCTGGCTTTAGCGTTGTCTGTAAAGGCCAGCACATCTTCTAAAATGGCTGCAGGGAGGAGCGTAAACCTTTGACCTCAGGAGCCTCTCTGATGAGAAATTCCTCACACAAGTGCAGTGTCCTCCGGCTGGCAGGCCCTCCCTGAGTGGCCACAGACCTGATATTGCAGGGTCTTCCCAGGCAGGCCAGGCCAGGCTAGTGTTCAGTCACACACACAGACATCAGGGTTGCCATTTAATCAGTGTTATGATGATAACATTGGCAAGATTTTTACATAAGAAGTGGGCCTCCTTTTCATAGTTATTTTTTGGGGGGATGGTGGTTTGCTTGCTTTAAAAAAATTGTTTTTAAAGTATGCTATAAATTGGAATCAGGAGAACTTGAATGAACTCCCACACGCACTGCAACATGGGAGAAGAGAAGTCACCAGACCAGACAGAGCTGTCTCTTCTCCTTGCAGAGGTGGGGCCTGGGTCTGGCAAAGTGAATGAATGAAAAAGAAACTGAATGCAAGAGAGTGGCCTTGAAAGGGCATGGGAAGAAAGGGAACCACAACCTTTTATTTTAAACCTTAAGGTCTAAATGTAAATGGAAGATTTTGGATAAATTTGGACAAGAAAAGAAACACCATTCTTTTAGAGTAGACTGAAGCAGTGATTTTTAAAACAAAGAAAGCAGAACTAGAACATCTTAAATTTTTAATCCTTTCTTTACAGGTTACCTAAGACCACTTTTGATTAAGAAAACTGTAGAAAGTTAGTAACTGCCACAAGCAAACGCCAGGTGGTGGCCTGTGTCAATTTTCCACAGAGTCCTGCTTTGCGGGGTGTCTGAATGCACTGCTCGGGGTCTCTGCTCACACTTGCTGGAATCAATCGTGGCAGATTTTAGTCCACAGGTCGCTTTTCCCCATATTTCTTTGTAAACTCTTCAGCATTCTTACAGAATTTTTTACGGTCCTTAGAGTATTCTTCAGCTAGGTCAGCCCGAAGCGGGTGCTCAGGCTGGGGGTCATTCACCAGTGCTATGAGAGACTGGATTACTGCCAAGAAAAGGAGAAGGCATTGCTGGTTACAATAGTCTCAGAAAGGGCCCAGGCAAGATATGCAACTCTGACTCTAATACTGATTTATATCTATGTGCTTCTAAGACAAAGCGGCCTCTGATTTATCCAAAATTCTAACCACAAGCACTTAAACTTTCCTCTGTAATGAGGATAAAGTGATGGACGACAGTCAACAGTGGATAACTGTTCAGAGTGATGCCGCTGCCGCCGCCTCCTCCTCCTCTGAATGTCCCAGCCCCTAGTCACTCTCATCCTTTCCCCGCAGTCTGGAGACATCAGGCCTGGCTCGCTCTCTCTCTCTCTCCTGTGTGCATGCGTGAAGCTTCTCCAGGGCAGAGGCTGGGTGATGTGTTCCAGAACTGCACTCAGTTCAGGGTAGTTTCAATGAGTATGAGAATGAAGGGTGCAAGACGGGCCTGCAGCATGTAAATGCATAATGAGTCCACCCTGGAAGACCCCGAAGAGCTTTTAAACCAGCTGAGAAAGGGTCATTGGACCACCCTGTCTAACCACTAGGGCAGTGATGGCGAACCTTTTGAGCTCGGCGTGTCAGCATTTTGAAAAACCCTAACTTAACTCTGGTGCTGTGTCACATATAGAAATTTTTTGATATTTGCAACCATAGTAAAACAAAGATTTATATTTTTGATATTTATTTTATATATTTAAATGCCATTTAACAAAGAAAAATCAACCAAAAAAATGAGTTCGCGTGTCACCTCTGACACGCGTGTCACAGGTTCGCCATCCCTGTACTAGGGGTTAAAACCACTGGGAGGTTAACCCCCAGTAGCAGTATATTGTCTATTTCAGAAGCAGAAGTCACATCGATGGGCTTGGGTGGGTTCTATAATGCTCCCCCCAAAAGCAGTAAATCCTAGATGTGCTGGAAGGCGAGTCCTGGGCCCTTGGAACGTAGGAGCAAGGAAGATAATGGTAGCATGCCTGGGGCAGGGGCAGGCGAAGGCATGGGCTCAGCTCTTCTTTCTCCTTTGCAGCACTTCTACGTTTTGACCAGCTGTGTTTCCAGTTTACAAACTCTAAGAAGCTTGAATAAATCTTCTAGCAAAGCCTCTTCATTCCTTTTAAGTTCGATAGCATAAATAGGTGGCTTCTAGTCTTTTGTTCATAATTAGAAATTGTTTCCTAGCAGAATGGCTGCTTCATTAGCATTTCGGGAACCCCACAGGAGTAAATGCTTTGGGGCGGATGTGGGGGAGCACTGGTGAGTTTCCCTGCCCACTCTCTGTTATGGATACTCAGGCTCTTGGTTTCTTACTATGATTATACCTTAATATCCAATGCATTAGTTAAAATCATTTGGTAATTATTAAGACATGATTTTCAAAAGATACTCACTCTGCAGTTTGCTATTTTCCCAAGAACTTGCTTTTACTTTTTGACCAAGTCTAAATATTTTCAAATTTATTTAGTAGTTCTGATGAGTATTTCATTCTTTCTCTGTTTCCTTTGGGTGCATTTCTGGCTCCTCAGCTAAACTATAATAAACCCAGTTTAGCTTAGCTTGTTTTGATAGTGAGAACACTGATATCTATGACTGCTTGTCAAACTACAACTATGGCCCCATCCCATTATTTTTTTATATATAGAACAGCAGGCTCATTTTATTTTATAAATGTCTGGCTCTGGTTTCTTGATCTCTTTCTTGAGCCAGGTGCTCCCCAGAAGCACTTTTTTCTTCCAAAAGAAAGACTTTAAAAACAATCAAAATTTACCTCCTATTCTCTCACTGTAGAGGGTAGGGCAAAAGTAAGTTTACAGCTGAGTACACAAAAGTTTATTCTTGTATTATTATGTATTAATTACAGTATTATTTTCCATATGAACAACTGTAAACCTACTTTTGCCCCATCCTATATATGATCAGAGGGTAAAGCCTATGAAATCTCATTTTTGTTCTTATTGGCAGTTTTCTTGTATTAGAGGATGTTAACACTGTAATTTCTTCCTTTTTATGGAGATCTAGGGTGCTTCATTCTCACAGAGTAAAATGTGAATGGTACCTTCCATAGAATGCTTTATAAAAATGTTAACTAATATCCTCTTTGTTATATTTCTTGAGTCCTTTTTATAACTTTATCTACTTGATTTGTTTTAATAGTGTATGGGGGGTTGAAACTTTCATTTTAAATTGTTTTAATTTTCTCCATACAAATTTTGTTTTGGTTAATTCTCATCCAAGGATATTTTTTCCATTGATTTTTAGAGAGAGTGGAATGAAGGGGGAAGGGCGGGAAAGATACACAACTTGGCAAGGGCTCTGGGAGTTGCATGAGTGGCTGACAAGGCATTCCTAAACAAGTGCAGCTATAGCCTTCCAACACAGAGCTAGGAATTTGTCTAATATATATATATATATATGGCATCTGCACTTAAGAATAACTTTGTTGGCCCTAGCACATGCTCGCATTGTGGGCTTGATCCCTAGTGGGGGGAGTGAAGGAGGCAGCAAATCGATGATTCTCTCTCATCACTGATGTTTCTACCTCTCCATTCCTCTCTGAAATCAATAAAAATATATTTTAAAAAAGAATAACTTTGTCGGCCCTGGCTGGGTAGCTCAGTTGGTTAGAGCATCGTACTAATACACCAAGGTTGTGGATTCAATCTCTGGTCAGGGCACAAAATCAACCAATGAATGCATGAATAAGTGGAACAACAAATCGATGTTTCTCTCTCTCTCTCTCTCTCTCTCTCTCTCAAATATATTGTTTTAAAAAAATAACTGTCAACCTTTTATAAACATCAAAATGACCAAATGCCAAATCCGCTGGAGATCTTTGTATTCTGACTCAGCATTTAGTATCCACTCCTTTCTACTACTCAGCTGTGTTGAGCCTGAGGCTGAACTTTCCATGTGAAAGGCTTTCAACACCATCTTTCAGGGGTTCCACTGAAAAATGACTAGATTATTCACTGAAAAACTACCTGCAGTCTAGAAAATGCCAGCCTTATCTACTCTCTTTAATCTAAAAAGACCTTATAGTGATTGGCTGGTTACTTATAAGAAAATATAAAATTAGGACTTCAAAACAAAGTTCTGGAACTAGGAAATAAAAACCAGACATGGCCACAACAAAATCTAGTAACTTTCAGGGGACAAGAGGGAGGCCAACAGTAATACTGAATTAAGTACTCTCCCACCCCCATGGGTATGTATGCTTACACAGACACCCAGAACATGGACACAAACGGCCACATCCAATTCCAGGGAGTTCCAGGCCTGCTAAAGCCAACTATGTGCTTTCATTTGGGCACACAGCCCTCGGGTCTAACTATATCCGCCACCCCCACACCACCCACTCTGAGCCACTGGCTTTCTGCTGCTGCCCACCAGGTGGCTTTGGCTTGTACCCTTCTTTTAGTCTGGAAGGCCCTCTATAACCTCCCATCTTCCTTCATGTCTGAGTATACTTGCTAACTGCTGTGTGAAGCCACTTTAAACACCACTCCACCTTGCCCCCTGAGGCAGCCCCACAATCCTTCATGAACCTCCCAGGAACAGTGTCTACATCCCTCCCTGCACTGGCACCAAGTACTGGGCTGGTCTGTCTACATGTGTCCTCACTGGGATGCAAGCACAGGAAGGGCCTCCTCAAACACCTGCCACCAACTGTAGGTCAACATGGCCACAGGACTGGTGGGACCACAGTTGCACTTGTGTGTGCATGGGAGTTCGTAAGTGAGCTTTCTCTGGACTGTGTGTGACGAGGCATTAGAAGGCACCGTGGAGTCCCTGCCCCAGAAGAGCACCATCAGAAGACATAGGAGCATGCTTTACCTTGGTCGGTTTTCGTTGCTGGCTTCCAGTTTTCAGCACTAATTACTGGCAGACAGACCTGTCCCTTTTCATCGATGTTGGGGTGATAGATCTTTGTTTTAAATGTAATCTTCGGTGGTTTGAATGGGTATTCTGCTGGAAAGTTGATTTCGATTCTGAAGGCCCCCTTATCATATGGAGGGTTGTCCTGCGGAGAAAGAGATCGAAATGAACACACCATGGTAAACGAATCTGCCGCTGGGACAGGAATGTTCCGTTAACTTGAAAATTAATTTATTTCAAGTGGCATATCAACTGAAGCTTTACCACCGTTAGGGAAACCATTAATCAATCAGTATTTCTAGAGCAAGATGTCTGCTAAGCTGTGAAAAGGTCTGAGATTGACATTCTGGCTTATTTTCTTTCAACAGACTTTATGTAATAAGAGTCATTTTAGCTTCGCAGCAAGCAAAACTGCCCTGGCCTGCACATACACAGCTTCCCCCACTATCAACATCTTGCAATAATATGGTATATTTGTTACCATTGATCAACCCACAGTGACATATCATTATCACCTAGACTCCATATTTTATTTTTTAAAATATATTTTTATTGATTTCAGCGAGGGAAGGAGAGGTAGAGAGACAGAAACATCAATGATGAGAGAGAATCGTTGATCGGCTGCCTCTTGCACACCGCCCACTGGGGATCGAACCGCGACCTCCTAACCACTGAGCACATCAGCTGGGCTCTCTCTACTGTTTTCAACAATTTGCATTGTAGGACTTTTCATAGCACAGTCAACAAATATTCTAACATTAATGAATTCCATCATATTCCCTTTGAAGAGAAATATTAGTGGAAATAAGTATTTCTAGAACTGGTTTACCAATCTTTTATGACTACTCTCTGAATTATATCTAAATTTAAAATTACAATCTCCATGAATTGAATTCAACAAGGAACTTTACCTCTCACAGCTTAATTCACTTTCCCCTCAAGAACAGAAGTAGCCTTATTGTTATTTTTCTTTTTTTTTTTTTAAATATATTTTATTGATTTTTTACAGAGAGGAAGGGAGAGAGATAGAGAGTTAGACCCCTGCTACGTGGCCATGGTATGTTCTCTATGCATATACAGTACACACAAAGGCTTTTCATTCAACCCAGGTACATGCCCTTGACCGGAATCGAACCTGGGACCCTTGAGTCCGCAGGCCGACGCTCTATTCACTGAGCCAAACCGGTTTCGGCCTTATTGTTATTTTTCATAGAAATATACCATCTACGCCAAAAAAGTAGTATTAAACCTTCCATTGTCCAGGATAATGGCTGTTAGCTCCCTGCTACGTGGCCATGGTATGTTCTCTATGCATATACAGTACACACAAAGGCTTTTCATTCTAGATATCTACATATATTACTCATATCTATACTAATAAAAGGGTAATGCTAATTAGGACAGACATCTTCCAGATGTCCATCCGGACAATGCCACAGCGGCTGCAAGGCCTGGGGCCCGGTGGCTGCAAGGCCCAGGAGCGGGCCTAAGCCATCAATAGGACATCCCCTGAGGGCTCCCGGACTGTGAGAGGGGGCAGGCTGGGCCGAGGGATTCCCGCCCCCTCCAGTGCATAAATTTTCATGCACCAGGCCTCTAGTCCTATATAATAAAAGGGTAATATGCATATCGACCGAACGGCAGAACCGGTCACTATGATGTGCACTGACCACCAGGGGGGCAGACGCTCAACGAAGGAGCTGCCCACAGCCCACAGCCCGATTGCCCGATGGGGAACGGGGAACTGGGGGTGGGTGGTGGCAGATGCAGGTGGCACCAGACCAAGGCCCCCCCCACCCTCCCCGCCAGTTGCATCACACACAGAGGGCGACCAGCATCGAGGGACAGGCCAGTGAGTGGGCAGGAAAGGCCAACCTCGCAGTCCCTCCCCCGGGCAGCAAGCTCCAATCACCTGATGGCGAATGGGGAACCAGGGGTGGGTGGTGGCGGGGAGCAGGGCCAGCTGCCGGCTACCGGGGAAGATGGCACTGATTGCAGGCCAGGCCTAGGGACTGTACCCGTGCATGAAGTTCGTGTGCTGGGCCTCTAGTGTAGTTATAAAACTCGACTTATACTGTCTATATTCTTTCATAACTTTGCTCATGCTGCTATCCATTGTCTTTCAGTCTGCAAGGCAGATGTCCCCTGCTTCTTAGGTCATACTGCCTTATGGCATTTGTTCACAAAGCCTGTGCCTGGCTTGTTTAAGCTCAGTAGCCTCCACCAACATGAAGGCATAATCCCAGTACCCTAAGGTTGGCAGCAAAATTACTTTTATGTGTGGCCCTGTGTCTTATTTTGCTTCAACCATTACAGCTACAGAAAGAGAGAAGAAGCTACAGAAGAATCAGCAGAGAAGAGCAGGAAACATGGGCCAGTGTTGCGCCCAAGGGAGGAGGGACATTGCTCCACCGTAAGGCCAGAAAGGCAATACAGAAGGAAGAAGGAAGAAATCTGGTGGGTGAGAATTTCCGGTGCAATGGGCTACACAATGCGAAAGAACACAGAACGGAAGGCGAGAGATCTGAATGACAAGTGTAGCTACAAAAGGTGAAGGAAGGAAACCAAAGCCTCAAGCGCACTCCTGGAGGCAGGGCTAACGCTGAGGGAAATCTTCCTTCTTCCTTGACCAAAAAAGAACCTCTAACAATGAAGGAGCTTTTATATTGTGCCCGCGACTGTGCCAAGTGCTTTTTGTCAAGAACACCACACCAATTACCAGAGCCAACAGAAAGAGGGTGGGGGGTGCGACCCAAACTGCCTCATAGATATCCAAATATCTGACTAGCTTCAGCAAGTTTTTAGGTTTTGTTACAAGTGGGGGGAAAGTTTTTTAATTGAGGTGAAATTCACAAACATATAATTAACATAATTAATATATATTACTATATAAGTTTAAGGAATACAGCATGATGGTTTGATTTACATATATTGTGAGATGGTGGCCAAGTTCTCTTCATGTTCTGGTGGGATCCTGGCTGCATTTTGATTACCTGTCTTCTCCATTAATCCAGGAGATGCCTGAGAGCAGGGACCTGAGGTGTCCTCAGAACCAACCAAACATTTGCTAACTGAATTGCTAACCGATCAGATTCTCTGCATGTGATAAAGTCATCAACACAAGTGTTTATGTTTTTCTTTTAAACATGTCCAAGAATGTCGGCTCTCAGAATAATGGCTTAATATACCTGAAACACAATGATCCCAGCACCTAGAACAGTGTTATATAGAAAACATTATTTCTACATCTCTGTATCCCAGTCACCAGTCACAAGCTTACAGCCGCTAATAAAGTAGGAGGTATGAGAGCCTCATCACCAATCTAGGAGGTAGGGATTCAGTTCCAGGACATTCACATAAAACAATTTCTTGTTAGGAAAGAAAAATTGATCTTACTGCTTTTAAAAATCAAAGCTTAAATAAATAAATATATAAATACGCCCTGGCCGGTGTGGCTCAGTTGGTTGGAGCATCATTCCATACATCAAAAGGTAGTGGATTCGATTCCTGGTTAGGGCACATACCCAGTTTGCGGGTTCCATCCCCGGAGCAGGAGGCAACCAATCGATGTTTCTCTCTCACATCCATCTCACATCAATGTTTCTGTCTCTCTCACTCCTCACCTTCCTCTCTCTGAAATCAATTAAAAAAAAAATTAAAGCTAATTACAACTGAATAATTTTAAAAATAACCCAATTTAAAAATGGGCAAAGTACTTGAATACACATTTCTCCAAAAAAGAGACATAAATGGCCAATAAGCACATGAAAAGATGTCCATCACCTTAGCCACCAGGGAAATCAAATCCACAATGAGAAACCACTCTACGCCTACTAGGATGGCTGCAATCAAAAAGACTGACAACATCAACTGTCAGCAAGTATGTGCAGAAAGTGGACTCCTCTTACACTGCTAGTAAGAATGTAAATGGTATAGCCACTGTGGAAATAGTCTAGCAATTCCTCAAATGAATAAACATAAGGTCACTATATGACCCAGCAACCCCACCATATGACCCAGTAAATTACCCAAAAGAAATGAAAACATGTCCACATAAAAACGTGTCCATTGCCCTCACCAGTTTGGCTCAGTGAATAGAGTGTCGGCCTGTGGACTGAAGGGTCCCAGGTTCGATTCTGGTCAAGGGCACATGCCTGGGTTGTTGGCTCAATCCCCAGAAGGGGGCATGCAGGAGGCAGCCAATCAGTGATTCTATTTCATCATTGATGTTTCTCTCTCTCTCAAATCAATAAAAATATTTTTAAAAAAACAACAAAAAAAATGTGTACATGAAAGTTAATAGCAACATTATTCATAATATCCAAAAAGTGGGAACAATCCAAATATCCATCAACTGGTAGTGAATAAGAAAACTATGATTATATCCATTACAATAGAATATTACTTGGTAATAAAAAGGAATCGAGTATTGATACGTGCTATGACATGGATGAACCTTGAAAATATTATGTTAAGAAGCCACATACAGGCCCAGCAGGTGTGGCTCAGTGGTTGAGTGTCGACCTATGAACCAGGAGGTTATGGTTCAATTCCTGGTCAAGGCACATGCCCAGGATGCCGGCTCAATCCCCAGTGTGGGGCGTGTAGGAGGCAGCTGATCAAATATTCTCTCTCATCATTGATGTTTCTATCTTTCTCTCCCTCTCCCTTTCTCTCTGAAATCAATAAAAATATATTTTAAAAAATAAAAGGCCAGGGCATCAAAAATTTTAAGAGAAAAAAAGAAAAAAGAAAAAGCCCTGGCTAGCTTGGTTCAGTGGTTAGAGTATTGGCCTTCCACAGACAGAAGGGTCATGGGTTAGATTCCCGTCAGGGGCACATACCTGGGTTGCAGGTTCGATTCCCAGCACCCATTGGGGCGCATTCGGGAGGCAACCAATTGATGTGTCTTTCTCACATCGATGTTTTTCTCTCTCTGTCCCCTTCCCTTCCACCCTCTCTAAAACGCAATGAAAAAATATCCTGTGAAGATTAACAAACAACTAAACAAAAATTTTAAGATAAACCTTTAAATTAGAAATTTTTGAATAAACAAAAATTTTAAAAAATATACAGTAAGCTGAAAAATATTTGTCCCAGACACAAGGGATTAATCCAGAATTCCTACAACTCAACAAAAACATT